CATCTTTTTTTATCCAAAACGTTTGTTTTCGTTTGCCAATGTTCCAGGTAATCCAGCCAGGAAATTTCAATTTCTTCGCTAGCATTTTATTCGCTTCCATGTTTATTTAGGACTTTAATTGGTAATTGGCTCCCTCATAGGGAGTTCTAAGCTGGAGTTTTAGAAGCAAAGTAAAACAAATATTTGAAAACAGTTTGGATTTTAAAAGTTAGAAACAAGGTATCTAAATCTGGTAAATAATATTTTTCATAAATAGTAACAAACGTTCATGTACAGATTTTGAAAATTTAATTCAAGTTATTTAGGCTGTGAAATTTTTTACAATATGTTTACCTTCCTTTAAATATACAATTTGTCACAAAAGTGTTTTCGCGTGAAGATTTTTTTATAAATTTGCCATTCTTATTAAGAAAAAACCACTATGCAATAAGTTTTGAGTAAGATTTTTTTTTATTTTACATTATTTATGTATTTCTTAAGAATACACAAAAAACAAAACCTAAATTTTCCTACTAACAAAAAAGATATAACAAAAACAAAAAAAGTCTACACAATCTTCACTGTCAAATAAGTGTTTTCGTTTTTACATTTCTGGTGTTTTCTCGAATTTTTTTCTAGAATATGCTAAAATATGCTAGTCGACCCTAAACTAGATGATATAAATATGCATTTTGAGCATTTCAATGTCAGTTCTTCGTTAATAGTCGTATAAATAAGTGTTTTACAATGCCGGGCAAAAGAGTTTCTTTTGATGTGATCCAATTGGTGTATTACAACCATACCATTGGGAAAAGGACTGTAGAAATTGCAAATATGTTTAAAATAAATATAAGAACTTTCCAAAATATAATAAGTCGGGCAAAAAATGAGAATAGGCTCGAAAATAAGCCAGTAAATGGTCGGCCGGGTAAGCTCTCAAACAGAGTTATTCGGATTATAATGAAAAAAGTAGACCAGAACCCCATGATCTCAACAAGAAAACTGGCTGTGGAGGTAAGGGAAGAATGTGGAGTGAATGTTTCGCATGAGACTATTCGCAGGACAATTAGGAGCCATAACTTCACATCCCGAGTAGCTAGAAAAAAACCCCTGCTATCAAAATAAAATGTTGAGAAGCGTCTTTTATTCGCTCAAACTCTTTTGGATGAGCCCCCAAGCTATTGGAACGACGTGATTTTCTGTGACGAGTCGAAAATAATGTTACATTATAAAGAAGGACCCAACCGAGTGTGGAGCAAACCGTTGTGTGCCCTACAAAATAAAAACATAATACCGATTGTAAGATTCGGCAAGCTGTCCGTCATGGTGTGGGGGTGCATCTCAAGCAAAGGAGTGGGTGATTTAGTATTTATCGAAAATACGATGGATGCTAAACAATATCTTGAGATTTTAAAAACCAATTTGGTAAACAGCGCGAACACATTTCGTTTTGGGCGCAGCTTTAAGTTTTACCAAGACAACGACCCAAAACATAAGGCTCACAGTGTACGAATGTGGACGCTCTATAATTGCGTTAAGGTGATTGAGACTCCAGCCCAGAGCCCGGATATCACCCCTATAGAGAATGTGTGGGCTTATTTGAAAAAGAAGGTCGCAAGAAGGCATCCCACATCGCGACCAATGCTAAAGGAATTTATTTTGGAAGAATGGAATCAGATCCCAATAGATTACATAGAAAAATTAATAAATTCAATGAAATCACGACTTCAAGCTGTTGTTAAGGCCAAAGGGCATCATACCAAATATTAATTAATTTAATTATATCAAAAATAATAATTATTATCATAAGATTAGCGTTAAGTAATCACCCAGTTCCTTAAAACGAAAACACTTATTTGACAGTGGAAAATATGTTGACTTTTTTGTTTTTGTTATATCTTTTTTGTTAGTTGGAAAATTTATGTTTTGTTTTTTGCGTATTCTTAAGAAATACATGAATAATATAAAATAAAAAAAAATCTTTCTCAAAACTTATTGCAAAGTGTTTTTTTTTAATAAGAATGGGAAATTTATAAAAAAAATCTTCACGCGAAAACACTTTTGTGACAAATTGTATATATGAGAGTAAACACTTTGAGTTGTGCCGTCTGTATAGTAAACTCAGCTGGTTTTTAATTAGAGACATAATTTTAGTTAAGTTTCATTTATTTTTATTTCGCATAAGTAATGCGACTTTTATCCCAAATATAATCCTAAAGGACATTTCGCTCAAGCCTGAGGATTAAATTTGCAAGAGAGAAGGTATCTGCATATGTTCATACATATGTAAATCGCTTTACAATTTGACTTGATATTTGTGATCTTTCGTTATAACAATATTATTAACAATAATTTTCCCTTTACCAAAAATCTGCATTTGACTTGGGTGCCTGCACTGAAAAGAGCATAATCCCTCCCGTTTGAATATTTGGAATAATTACTAAAGTATTGTTCCCGACTAAGCCGCAGAGAAAACCTTTTCACGGGACTGCTCATTGTGCTGCTGAAACACACAAAAACCCCGAAAATGATTAAAATTTAAAATCTGGTAATTGAGAAAATGTAAATTTTCAACCTAAGACCATTGAAAAGTGTACTTATTTTGTAAGAGCTGGAATGAAATTGAAACACCACAAATCTATTTAAAAAATTGCTACAATATTTTATTAAACACCTTAAAATTTGCACACACAGTGCGATTTTATTTATATACTGTATAACGATTATAATTATAACAAAATACATTAGTTTTTTTTTGTTCGCAAAACTGTTTCTTTCTTCTTCTGGGAAAAAATACACGTTTCATAATTAGAAAAAACAAAAATTTAGTTAGGCGCAATATAAAACTTATCGCACTTAAAATTATTCTAAAAACAAATCGTATAATAAAATCCATAAAGTGGACTTACTAAACGGAACCTCAAACTGTACTGCTATGCGAAAATGTTGAACTCTTATTATTAATTCGTTAACTAATCTTTAAGTGCTTGAGGACAAATTTAGATTGGCGTAATAATTTCAATTTGCACAGAGAACGTGCTTGGTTCTAAGAAATCGTATTTTCTTTTATTTTGTATAGAACTTTTGCTTCGGTTAAATTTCAGCAAAGGTATGGAACGAATTGATTCGCCTTAGAAGTTGGCGACATTGTCGCCAAAATACAATTATTCATCGGGCACGTAACTAACTTTTCACCCAAAAATAATAGAGCTAGAAAAATAAAGAAAATTTTGCAGTGAAGTAATTGTGAACAGGAATGCTCAAGCGTTGCAAATTGGGAAGGATGCTACAGGATGCAATGAGATCGGGGGAGTATTTGTGGACATGCAACGTTTAGTGAGACTCTACATCCCTCAGAATTCCTTATTGAAGAAACCCATGCTGAGCCCTTTTCGGGACACAAAAAAGATCCTGCACACTTCTTCTGTTCTTCGGCGATCCGTACTTGTTGTTCGGGTCACGTCACGGTTTTTACCGTCCGAACCCATTTGACATTTGACAATTATTCATTTTTCGTTTTATTTCTTAGAAATAAACCTCGGCCGCATCGCTGCGAATCGATTGGTTCCAAATCGTTGCAATTCAATTGCGAGTTGCCTTTTGGCTTTTTGGCATCCTGTTACCATTTCGTTTCAGCTGTTCGACACGATCTATTTGGTGTTTTACGCTCATTTCGGATTGAACAAAGTTTTAACCTCGAAATGTGGAGAGTTTTGGTTATGCGTAAATCGGAGTAAATCGAAATACTCCTACAAAATGATACGGTGGAAATCGCAATTTTCACGTTAATCCTAATTATCCTTTGAACTTAATTGCTTAATTAGAAGAATATTCGAGTGTGGTGTTTCCCAAAGGCATGGCTGAAGGTGTATTTTATGGATTGCTAGAACGAATTTGGATATCAGTTCTTTTGGGTGGGCATTTTAATGAAAACATGATAAGATATGCGGTGGGTTCGATATAGTGTCGGCTTTTGTGTTTTGTTATCCTTCGAAGGTTCGACTGAGTAATGAACATGATAAGATATTAAATGAATTCCGTCGGTAAGAGAATGAAATCAAATTTCAAATAATTATAATATGGGTTTTTGTAAGGAGGATCAACAAACAAAATGATTGTGGGATCAAACCTTTTTAACGGTTATTATAAACTTTTTTGAGTTGGTGTTAATTTAAATACTTTTCTTTGTTTAGTGAAAATATGGTTATTGGTCTGACAGTCTTATATTTAAAAGATAAATTTTATCATATTTTTAAGTGTCTTTTTGTTAGGTTTTATTGCAGCTCAGCCTTCTCATCTTCAAGTGCCCCAAACCTTAGCTAATATTGCCACTTTTAAATGGCATACCTCCAAACGTTTGTTAGCTGATCCTTTAAAGCTGCGCCTTAAAATTTTTCGATTCCGTGTAGCTCGATTTGTGTCCCCTGATCACTTTGAAATTAAGCAAGTTTCCGAGGGCTTTCCAAAACTTGTCCAAAACAGCTCATCTTTACCAATTTAAACACAATTTTAAAGTGGCGTACAGAAAATCCTGTTGGAAATTGTCTTAACTTCACTGTTTCTGTACTATAGAACCCTATAACTAAGACTTTATGAATTAAATGTCAAGCTCGCTTATAATGATCGGCTTGTCTATATTCGATTCATTTCTTGTATTTAGTGGTTTCAACCCAATACTAAGTTGGAATCTTTTTTATATTAAACACAGGTATTCTTAATTTGTGAAATGGGACACTTATCCTTTATAGACCTAAGCCGACTCTGGTCGTGACTCTTTATTTTCATTACAAATCTTGTTTGCTTTCAAAATAATCAGTTTCAACCAACCGAAAAAGTACCCGCAGTAATTGCAATTAATTTAGAGTGCTCCCAGATAAATTGCTACAATCAAACATCAGTTCATGTGAGAAAATCCGTTACGATGCAACCGATCAGGTAAAGTGTCCCTGTCTTCGCAGAGAATTGATGACGCATTTCATCCCCTTAACTCGAAGGACCTTGCAAAGCAGGTAGGAAGGACCTCACCACCTCCGAGTATAAAAGACCGAGCAGCCAGACCAACAGCATCATTCAACCAACAGTTTTCCATCTGAGCAGATCATCAGCATCCACTCTCCAAAATGTTCGCCGAGACCGCTCTTGTTTCCAACTTCAACGGAGTGCCGGAGAAGAAACCTCTCACCGGCGCCTCCACCAACATGAAGAAGCTGCTGAAGACCATCAAGAAGATCTTCAAGAACTCCAAGCCCGCAAAGGAGATCCCGGTCTCCAACATTCTCCACTCCTGTCACAACGAGGAGGAGCACCAGAACTGGCTCAACGAGCAACTCGAGGCCAAGGCCATCAGCCTTCTCCATTGAGTTCATCTGGGAAATTCCCCTCCACCGAGAATCTGTGATGTGACCCGATCAAAAGGTCTATAAATCGGCACGTCGGCTTTAAACTCCAACTGTGATGATGAGAACACGAGACTGACTAACTTGTGTGCCTCGGAAGCAAGAAAACTTCTTCGCTTCCGCCAACTGTATATATCAACGTCTTCAATAATGCTTTAACTTAGCTGTAATCATTGTCTTCCACTAGTTTTAAGCAAATCATTGTCTTCCATGTTTGTTTAGGGTCAAAATTAGCTTAAGAATAAAAATCCCTCGAGGAAAAAGAAACATTTTCTGTGTTATTTGTCCTTGCTTTTCAGTGGCTTAATGTCTTTAAAGGACAATAAAATACATAATAGCAATATATAAGTATAATAAAAAAATATATTGCATTCTTACAATTACAATTCGATTGCTAAATAAGTATTCTTTAGAAGAAATGCTAATTTTAGAAACTAGGTCGGTATTTTTGCAATACCTGAATCTAGAAAGACTTTCTTATATTATAACTTTGTTTCCCAAAAAAAAAAAACATACTCGTCAAAAACAGGTTCTATCTTTTTAAAAAGGCATTACAAAATACATGAACTGAATTGGTGGTAATATATGTTTTAATATTCACAACTTTTGCTTGTTTGCTCTGTGCACTCTGTGTACTAGCTAAATTTATAACGGCAAAATCAACCCATTTAAGGAAAAGGTATAGGAATATTTTTCTCCTTTATTCAGTAAAAAAAAAGTGTGTATTTATTTTCCTATGGGAAATTCTTATTATTGTCATTTATTTTATTTCACTTGAACTTTCCTATCAAATTTTTTCTTATTTATAAATTTGAAAAGCTAAACCATTTGAGAGAAATTGTAAATAAAAATAAATAAAACACAAAAAAAGTAAATATAAATTATTTTATAATATATCTTCTGAATACGCAAGTGCTAAACATCTACCATTTAATAAAAGTGTGTTAATTTTAATTTAAAAATATGTTTGAACTTAGTTGATTAATATGTTTGAGAGTGTCAATTTCTGTGAACGAGGAAGAGAAAGTTGGGGCTTTTGATAATTATTTCTTTCACGCTTTGTTGTCATTGTGCTGTCCAATTTTTTGCACGTCATGTAAAGCGGTTGAGACCTACCTGCAAAAGAATTTAACACCCTCCGCCATTTTACAAATCAGGTAGGGAGAATCCTTACGAGGGGTTGCGAAACCCACGGGTATAAAAGACCAAGCAGCTAGACGAACAGCATCATTCGAACAACAGTTCCCGATCCGAGCAGATCATCAGCAAAATTCCTGAAAAATGTTCGCTGAAACCGCTCCCGTTTCCAACTTCAATGGAGTCCCGGAGAAGAAACCTCTCACCGGCGCCTCCATCAACGTGAAGAAGCTGCTGAATACCATCAAGAAGATCTTCAAGAACTCCAAGCCTGCAAAGGAGATCATCACCTCTAATATCCTTTACTCCTGTCACACCGAGGAGGAGCACCAGAACTGGCTCAACGAACAACTCGAGGCCAAGGCCATCAGCCTTCTTCATTAAGGTCATCTGGGAAGTTCCCCTCCACCGAGAATCTGTGATGTGACCCGATCAAAAGGTCTATAAATCGGCACGTCGGCTTTAAACTCCAACTGTGATGATGGGAACACGAGACTGACTAACTTGTGTGCCTCGGAAGCAGGAAAACTTCTTCGCTTCCGCCAACTGTATATATCAACGTCTTCAATAATGCTTTAACTTAGCTGTAATCATTGTCTTCCACTAGTTTTAAGCGAATCATTGTCTTCCATGTTTGTTTAGGGTCAAAATTAGCTTAAGAATAAAAATCCTTCGGGAAAAAAAAACAAAAATTTGGTGTTGTTTTTTGTACCTTTTCAGAAAGACTTGAGATCTAAAATAATTATAACATTTGCAATATGTAAAAAAGAAAAATTAACTTATTATAACTACTGCATTTATGTTTTGTAACCCTATTTTAGGTCATGCTAGTGGTGAAGAACAGACAGAAGGCCTGCTGCGAACTGGTCTTCCTACTCATCCGGGGAATCCGCATGGCATCAGCCTAGGCAGCGAACGGGGACACAGCGTTGGATTCTTAATTTAGGAATAGTTTATTAACTAGACTCGCACGTAAGACTCACAAGACATGGATTGTCCCAAAATGTACAGTATAAGTCTATGGAATAGTTATATTAAACTATGTAAAATAAAGTGGAATTTTGTTAGTAATTGTATCATTTTTTGGGGGGCTCTTGCTTTTGGAAATATTTGGAAAATTTTAAGAGCTGCCACTTACTATTGCATTTTGTTCGCCTGGTACTTTAAAATGCGTGTGACCTAAAATTGTGGGCTTGGCCAGACCGAATTTATCGAGACCAATTTTTTTTTTTTTTTTTTTGTATTGTATTTACTAGTGCAGAATCTGTACAGCATATCTAGTACTTTAACAACACATGTGTACACAAATGAAAAAATAAACCATTCCTTGATATTTAGTTAAGGATCAAAACAATTAACAACCTTATTGGCTCCCTATGGTTTTTGCAAAGCCGTGCCTTTAAAGACGCCTCAATGGTCTTGCTGGGAGTAAGTTCCTAGCTAGTAGGCTGCGGTGTCTACGTAGTTTGTAGCTGTATCTGCTAGTCTTCCAATCTGCTCTTCCACAGTGTGTAGATGGAGGTCTCGATGAAGTGTAGTGCCACGCACGAACCAGGGACAGTTAGTTATGTTTCCAATAAATAAACGTAAGTAAATAAATACATAAAATAAAACTATTGAAACTGTAGCATACTTTCGGGGGCTCATTAAAACAGTGGTACAGTTCTTGCTTATTTTTTGGGGCATACTTTTGGGGGCAATTGGAAAATCTTAAAAAAGAGTAACCACCTACTATTGCATTCTGTTCGCCTGGTACTTCAAAATGAGATTTGGTTGAATATGTTGCTTTTGTCGGAACGATTTCGACGGGACAAATTGGAATTTTAGGATTTAAAATACCAGGCGAACAGAAAGCATTAGTAGGCGATTCTTTGGTTTTGCAATTTTACATAAAAATTTCTAGCATACTTTTGGGAACAATTAATTATTTATTTTTCATTAAAAAGTGTAGTATGCTTTTGGGGGCAAGCCAAAATAAAAAATTTTAAACGGCCACCTACTATAGGATTCTGTTCGCCTGGTACTTCAAAATTAGGTTTGGTTGAATATTTTGGTTTTGATGGAACAATTTCGACGGGACAAATTGAAATTTTAGGATTTAAAATACCAGGCCAACAGAACGCATTAGTAGGCGATTTTTTGGTTTGGCAATTTTATATACAAAATTTGTAGCATACTTTTGGGAACAGTTAATTTTTAATTTTGACTATTTTCATTAAAAAGTGTTGCATGCTTTTGGGGGCAAGGAAAAAAAAATTTAAAACGGCCACCTACTATTGCATTCTGTTCGCCTGGTACTTCAAAATTGGTTTGGCCCAAAAATTGTGGAATTGGCTGGTCGCCCGCCAATCGATTGGCGAATACTAAATTCCCTTTTTGGCACTGAAATACTTAAATATACCCTTGTTTTTTCCCAAATAATAAAACGATACATGTTCAATACAATAAAATGTTATTTAATAAAATATACCAGCCGCTTGTCCAATCCCCAATACAAAGCCCTTTCTGTCTACCCACTATTTTCAAAAAGTTGTTTTGGTGGCGCCACTATTTTGTACCTATCGTGTTGGTTTCCAGAACCATGACCCCTGACCCGCCCAGCTGGCAGAAATAATCGATAAGCGTTCAGTGGCCCGCACTTTTTGCTCCGTTTCAAACTGTTTATTTATTTCAACGCTTATAATAAAAGTTGCTATAACAATACACATTCGATATATGTATATATAAGTATATATGTTGGAAGTGCACTTGGGTTTCGGTATCCGTGTTTGTGATTCGGGTGAGATGTATGTCTGTTTGTCACTTGCTGTCTGTCTGCTTGGTTTGCTGCATTTGTTCGGAAGAGTTCTGACAACTTTCTGGAAGATGAAGTATTTATATGCGGTTTCGTCGTATAGGGTTATAGTTTTTAGATCCACCAGTGGCATGGAGAGTTAGTTCGAGTTCGAGGGACTCAAACACATGTGGAGGAGCGCAGGGGACAAATGCAGATGGCAAGACCGGAACGGAAGAATCAATTTCTGAGTGGAAGCCGTCTTTTGGATTGCTCGAATGCTAGATTTCTGGACTGCTGGACTGCTGGTGCTCGTTGCTGGTGCTCACTTTTTTCTCTTTTCAAAAACGTCGCTCGAAAATGTTGAATTTCTCTCGTATTACGTGCAATTATCTAATCTCAATATTTCGTCTAAAACCAAAAAACGGAATGCTGGCCAATTGTAGTTCGTCTGAGTCTAGCAAGCAGTTCGCCGTCCATCGGCGAGGTCCTTCGGCCAGGACTACTGGTAGTCCACCGAGTCGCTGTCGAGGACCGTGGAGGAGACCCTCGAGGCGCGGCGGTGCCAGTAGTCCGAGTAGCTGGCCTCGTACTGGGCGGCGGTGCGGTGCCACGGTGGCCATTTCAGCTATTCCTCGACAATGTCCCACACCATCAGCGACGCGTCTGTGCCGCCGACGGTGATGAGCGTGTGGTCGCCGCACAGGAACCGGACGCAGGCCAGCATCCCGGAGTACACCTTCGACTCGTGGAACTCGGCGCGCGGCGAGATGCAGGGGTACCTACAACAAAGAGGAGTCATGATTAAGGATATAGTAGAGTTTGTATTATTTCTCTGATCATCATCGTTGTAATATTGTATTTTTAATAAATAATGTTTAAATAATCCAATTTTAATTTAAGGTATACGATATTCTAGAAAACTTTTTATACTTTTTAAAATACTAAACTTTATTTTCTGAAGTTAGAGTCAATTATTTGATTTTAAGTGAAACAATCAAATTTATTTTAAATTCGTTTTAAAGTTTTCTGTAAGGAACGCCTTTGGGTTCTTCAATACCCCAATAACACTATTGTAAATGCAATAAATGTCAATTTTACCTGAACAATCGCAGATAACCCTCGGCGTCGCCAGAGGCGAGCATGTCATGGGCGGCGGAGCGACTGCAGGTGGCGACGATGGTGTTGGTGGTGCTGTAGTAGCGGTTGCTCCACTGACCCGCCACCAGGAATCCCACGGTGCAGTTGTTGGTCAGCCACTTGACGTCCTTCATGGCGATGGGACTGCGCTCTGGCGACAAAGACTTGGCGTCCCAGAAGAGCAGGTCGAAGTCGATGGTCACCGTCTGCACGAAGTTGCCATCCATGCTCCAGTCCAGGTGGGTCAGCGGCTGCGATCCCCGGATCTTGTTCACCTTCTTGTAGGAGAAGCCGTCGCGCGACACGCGGAACAGGTAAATGCTGCCGTTCTGCGAGCCCATGGCAATCATGTCGCCAACTGGAAAAAAAGAGGGTAATATTTACACCAATTATTATTTGCTTGTGTATCAAAGAAATTGTTATTTAAAGATGAAAAGGTCCAAATATTTACCGTCTAAATTTCGATTAAAACAAAACAATTATGAAAACCGAAAACTATTTAAAATTTTTAATGGAGGAATCTAAATTTTTGTGAAATATAATTAGTTTTGACCTTTTTAAAGAATTCCATTTTTATAGGTTCCCTTTTCTTAATCCTATTTGTTTATATATTTTTTTTGTTTATAATATTCTATGACCTACCCTGGTTGTAGGCGACGCAGTTGAGGGGCGACCCGCAGACCCTGAGGGTCAGCATGACCGCCCCGTTCTCGCAGTTGATGACCAGCAGATGACCCTCGGTGCTGCCGGCGGCCAGGGTGCCGAAGGGGTGGAAGGCCAGCGCGACGCACTCGTAACCCGTCTGGATCGTCCAGATGAGCTTGTTCTTGCGCCAGAGGGCCACGTGCTTGTCGTGCCCCGCGGTGGCGTACAGCTCGTCGTCCGGATGGGCGGCCAAGCCCCACAACTGCCGCCCGTGGCCGAACACCACCTGGGTGAAGCGGCGCTGCAGCGATCCCTCGAGGATGTTGTTCCGCGTGGTCCCCACGTAGATGTTCCCGTCGTTCCGACCCGGTCGCTGCGGGTAGATGGTGCGCACCCCTCCGGCGGCCTCGGGGAGCTGCGAATTGGAAGAGGTCAATGAAATACGTTTACGTTTTGCTTCTCTAGGAGTTATTATTATATAAAGAGAATTCATTTGCATTAGAAAGATTTACTTCATTAAACAGAACCATAATGCCTTAAAATATTTAGCTAATGAATATCCTAAATTAAGAAAATCTATTGTATTACTGAATAAATATTTAAGCTTTAAGAAATAGAGATTTTGGCAATAAGATTATACTGACAATAAAGGTTACTTGATTTTGCGATATTTCTAGTAACGGAAATTCAAGAATTAATTTGTTTGGTGTTAGTCAAAATTAATTTACAGTCCCCAAAAATAACTGAGTATTAAGCAAACTTCATACAACTTAGGAGCTTGCTTTACTGAAAGGTAAATATTACTGCTAACTACCTCGCTGATTAACCCACCTTGGTATCCGCTATCTTCTTGTAGTTCTGCAGGGAGTCCCAGGCGGCAATCTTGCGATCCTTCTCACCGCCAGAGAGCAGAGTGCCCTCACCCAACATGATCAGACAGCCGATGCCCTTGTTGTGGGCCTCGAACTCGGTGCGCACGAAATAGGCGCCATCCGAGTCCACCGAGTAGATGGTGATGAAGCCGTCGGAATCGGCGGTGATAACATCACCATCCGGCTCGAACTGGACACTGGTGACATGGGAGCGCGACGGCTGCTTCACGATGTCCGTGCGCTCGAAAAAGCCATCCTTGCGCCGGTGCCAGAAGGCCAGGTGACCTCGTCCGTGGGTGATGATGAGATTATCGTCCAGCGGGTGGAAGGCCGCCCCCGAGAGTCCCTCCTGCAGGGTCTGTAATTGAGCCAGAGAATCGGGATTAGGGGGCGTCTTAAGTGGGCAGGCTTAGACGGACTTACGGCCACTTTGCCCAGCAGGTGACCCCACTGCCACTGCCACACGGACAGGATGCTCTCGCGTCCGCTGTCCACGGCCAGTATGTAGCTGCCTCCGTTCTGCGAAGGATTCACTCGAGTTAATCGCTAATTGGTTTACTTCTCGGGGGGACAGACTCACCAGCTGCGAGAAGGCCACCGCAGTTACGCCGCTGTCAAGTTCGCCCATCCCAAAGACGTAGAGCGTCTGCAGGGATTCGGTGCTCCAGATGCGAACGTGTGCCTGCGACTTACGATCCCGTCCTGCTTTTTGGCCGGAGGCCACCAGCTCTCTGGAGGGATGTACGTCCATGCTGCAAAATGGTTTAGCACATTTTTATGAACGCCACTTTTTACGGATCCACTGTGAAAGTTTTTCTTCATTAATGAGCTTAAGCTAATAAATTTGTTTGCACAGGCTTAACTTTTATTTAATAAAAGGCTTTCCTTGGAACTTAAATCGTTGGATTCATACTAATATAATAACAAAATCATAAATTGAATAGGAAGTTTTATATAATTTTCAAATGAATACTCAGTTTTCGTCTCTAACCTGTGGCACTATTATTATCGTGAATTTATTTTCATAAACCAATAAATAAGTAAAGTAACACAAATTCTTGGCGTTTTAAATAAATCATAATAATTTCTTTAATATTTACCACATGATATCCTCGGTGTGGCCCGTGTAGTGCCTCTGGGCATCCTCGTCGCGATCGAAGAGCACGGCCACTGCGGCCACGTAGTAGAGCAACTCCCCGGAGGGCAGAACCCAGAGATTGCGCCGCGCATCGATGCCGCGGTAGCCATGGCTAAAAATCAGTTATAATTTATATTGATTCAAGAAATGTAAGATTTAATTATGTATACTTACACCCATTGGAGCTGCAGCTTTTTGTCCGGCGGGGAGTTGTCCGCCGGCGCGTGGTGGACGGGCGGATAGAAGGTGCGGCGCAGCCCCCGGATCGTGACCTTGGTGGGCTCCTCCTTCATGATGTCCAGCATCGTGTACTCGCCGTTCGGCCGCAGGATCTCGCTCTCCGGAGCGTAAAGGATTCGGGGTCGGCTCTTGCTCCGCGGTCGAGCTCCTCGCAGCGGCACCTTGGGCAGCTCGTCCGTGGGGAGAATGGGGGCGGCGGCCACCACCGAGGGGCGGGATCGGGAGCGCCGGATGGGGGAGCCGGCGATCAAGGCCGTTCCCGTTGCCAAATAGAAGGTATCCACATCGGCGAACTCATTCCGCAACTGAGAGAAACTGCGGACCTACAGGGCAATAAATTTGTTGTGTAATAGCAAACTATAACTATTCTATTTGCATTTATAATTAATGTTGGCTAGACAACTAAATTTAATTGATAAATTCCGATACTTTTTACCGATGTTGTTTTTGTAAAAATATTAAATAATGGCTTTATAAATTATATGTGATTGTAAATTTTGCGTAGCTGAATGAATTTGTGAACCTAAAAAAATAATATTTAACTATAAATATTGTAAAAGCGTGGCGATAAAAAATCAATAACTAAAATCAACAATATTTTTTACCCTTTTCTGTTGGTAACACGATTAATGTTTTCTGACACTTTCAACTAAATACTATTAAAATATTTAATTGTTGCGATTGTTTAAACGGTTAGTGCTTAAAGCACAGTAAACTATAATAGGTTAGGGAGTGCAATTTGTCAACTAATTTTGCAAGTCCGCCAAGTTGGGGTCTTCATTAAGTTATTAGGCCGTGACAAGGTCGTGCGGTTAGCAGGCCACCCGTCCGCCCCCCGGAAGTTCACATACCTCCTGGCCAGTGCCTGTGTACATTTTCTTTGCTCCGTTAATTTTCAGCACTTGACCCAAATCCTCGAGCACTTCCTCAAATGGTTGCGAGGTGCGTAGGTTCAACAAAACGCGGCACTGAAAGGAGAAAAGCAGAATGGAGAGGGGGTTTCAGCATGAGTATATAGATTTGTATATGTGTGGAATCACGTGTTAAATCTGGACGGGTAATTAGTCTGGCAAGTTGCTACATATGTACTAGGCGGCCTTTCAACACATTTTACTTGACCCGCGGTCAAAAATTTAGTCATGGCACGCAACTTCCGTTTAGCGGCTCATTGCCCCCACTTTCCCTACGCCCTTTAGGTTTTAGTAATGCTTATAATTATATGTTGTCGTCGACTGGCGTCCTCGTCGCATCCTCAGCCACATCCACGTCCACATACCCGACCCCAATTTACTTTTCTTTAACGCGCGGCCCACAAATCGAGTCTGTGACCCAGTTTGCGTTTTCTTTTAATGCTTAATACATTTTATTTGTTGCAAAGGCACTTAGAGAAAATCTTTTAAAAATTTTAACTTAATTTTTGAAGATAAAGCCATGCGCATTAAAATTAATTTTATAGCAAGATTTGATAGTAAAACCAGGTTAATGCAGTTAAAGATATAACGACATTAAGATTTAAACTGTAGACAAAATTATATGATAATAGCTCATGAAAAATTTGATCTTGGTAAATTATATTCATAGAGACAAAAATTTTGTTCCCTGAAATTTATTAAATTTTTGTTTTTCTGATTTTTTTTCTGTACAGCATCATTGTTTGCATGTGCCCCATTGTAGTTGTTATTATTGTTGTTGCACTCGAGCTTTTGCGCTCATAATTGGGTGCACCCCACGCACAGTCAGCCGCCGAGCCACCCACAAAAAAGCACCCGAACCCACCCACCGCCTCCCCCACAATGAAGGCCGTGCTTTGTTGCATTTGTTGGCTGGCGCTTGACTTTGGCTTTTCTGCTTTCGCTGCTTATTTTTCAAGTGGAATACTTGAGTTTTAATGACCTTCAGGGCCTTGATAACAGTTATTCACGCGTGTTAAAGAAGAATTTGTCTCTCCACTTCTGCCAGGATCTCCATCATCATTTTCCTATTACAGGGACACTCGCATAGAATTAAAGCAGCTGCTCGGGAAGTTTTATTTGGGCAAAAAGGACGAGGACCTGCTCGAGAGACAACGATAAACTTTCGCCGTTGTCTGGCCAAGCTTGGTTTAATTTATGTATTTAGTTTGGCTTCGAAAAAGGCGTCCGTTTAATGGTTTTATGTCCGTGTTGAGTGGTTTTCCCCGCACATCGCAGCCACTTAATTTTCCCGCCCACGACGGTCTGATTGCCGGCAAACAGAAAAACAGACGAAAAAATATAAAAGCCAGGCTCAAACTTTTCCCCCTCGGAAGTCGCACATATATCCAGCTCATTTTGAAGTTTTTGGCGAAAAAGTTGGAAATTTGACTTTTCGCTAGGCTTGACCGAATATTATAACTTTTTCGGTGAATTTGTGAATCAATTATAATTATCATCGAAGTAGGCCGAAAACTATCTGCTACAGGAAAAGTTTTGATGACACTTCCTGGCTGGGTGCTTAGGCATTTCATTTATCTTTTAAAATTTTATTTTTATGGTAAACGTTTTTTGAAAACCATTTATTACTAGCTATTGATTGTTTTTATTTTGTCAGTTAATTTATTTTGATATTATTTAAACGTTTGTATTTTGATGCAATGCAATATTTACTTTAAATTAGCGTAAATAGCAATGTTTTCTAGGGTTATATATTAATGGCAGTAATTTGGTATTCAGTTAAGTATTTAGCTTTTTTATTACCTAAATTTTATATATTAAAAATAAGTGCCCTGTTTAAAAACCAGATCAAGTAAAAAGCAAACATCAACTTTTTGAAACCTTTAAGCCTTTACCTTCATCCACAATGTTATTATTTTTCTATGCCTGTTCTAGGCCCTTTTTTTATGGTTAGCCATTTGATTTACAGTGACGTCCATTTCGACTAGCGGAGCGCATGTCTTTTATGGGTCGTTAGGTGGACTGGTTCAGGTGTCGACCCACCGATTCGAGCCGCACCACACCGGACACCCATGGATTGTGCCTCTATTTATCACAATTTATTTATGGTTTATCAAAGCGTAGCACCTGCGACACAATTGTCCGGCAGAAATGTTTCGGAATTCAAATGGTGATGGAAGAGTTAGGCCTTTCATCAGATGAATGGGGAATATTCAAGGCTGCAGGGGCGTTGAGCCTTGATGGAAAATCAGAGATATTTTTTCCTGACACTTCTACATAAATACATGCTTGTGTTCTTTAACAGAATTTGTTCCAGAAATTAGATTAATTATTTACAAAGCATAAACCGTTTAAGAAATTTCAGCTTTTCATTTCAAACATAAAGTAGTCTTAAAGTTTTCTAATATGCAAGGCGATAAAGCCAATGTCCATTAGGCAAATTACTACCCCATTTGCTACTAAATTTCAGCTGCATATGGGTAAAGTTTTCCCAAACTTTTCTTTTGCCGGCCCAATCGACTGTCACTTAATTTACTGGAAAATTAATTGACAGGACAGAAGCTGAAAAGATGCTTTTAATAATTTAGTGCAAATGCATTTCGGGACCCGGACAGTTCGGCATTTCGGCTGCAAATTGTCGATGCCTTGGCAATAAATTATGCATGCATGTGTCTCCATCGCTCCCTTTTTGCACACGCCCACTCACATGTCCACTTGTCCACTTGGGAGCCATTCTAAAGACGCCCTGATGAGGCACTTGGGCTCCGACATGGACTATAAACAAATATAATTATGTGAGCAAATAATTACATTATCGGCTACGTTGCCAGCTGCAATCACGTGACCCCAAACAAATGGCGTTTGTTAAGCCAATTACGTGCACTTTTCGTATGCGGGAGCAGGTGGAAGCCAGTTGAGGAGAAGCTGGCAAACAGCTGCCGGAAGGAAATGGCCAGGACCTCCGTTTTCCCTACGTCCTGTCTGTGTATGTGTTTGTTTCTGTATGTGTGTGTGTGTGTGTGTGTATGTGGCCGTCTGAATGTGTGTGATTTAAATTGTCAGCATTTCTCCTCGTCTGGAAAATTGTGCTGGTTTTTCAGGCATTCAATCGGTCGGCCGTTGCACGGTTGATTTAATCTTGGTGACGTCAAAACCATGCAAATTTTCCAAATATTTTCGTTTGCGGCAACTTCTCTTTCCCCGCTTTTCCTTCTTCGCACACACAAAGGAATTCCAATAAAATACAAACATGCATAAAACAAAAGACGTTAAACTGCACCACTGCTGTCGTCCTTATTGTTGTCAACGTTCGCAAAGTTGCATAAAGGGAACACAAGTAATTTAAATGAAAAGCACAAAACTGAAGAGCTATGAACAGAAAGCGATTGAGTGAAATTTAAGTAGGACATTAATAGTTTAAAAATTGTTTTTAATTTTTTCAAATAAAATCCAGCCTTACACCACAAAATTGTAATTTTTATTTACTCTGCCTAATATTTATCTAATGTAAGGCCTAAAAATCTTCTCAAATATGTCAGCATCATAGTTTTTTCACTTTGAAAATATATATTATCAATTGGCTTTTACATTTATTGAAAATTAAATTGCAGGTCTAGTAATTCGAACCCAAGTGTTCGGTTCGCAGAGCGTATTCCTGGGATATGGAAACTGAAACCGCTCTTTGAGTTTTTTCGCTTTCAGCTTACTTACATATTCCCTGCCTTTTTCTGTTTACCTTCATTGGAAGCGAACGTGTAAAAGAGAACGTCAGGTGGGCTTCTGCCTTTGTTTCCCATTCCCACCTGTTCATTGCCCCTGTGGCGTATACGTTATGAAAAAAAATTGAACACCGTGAAAGCTCGATATTCATACATAGAGAACAATTTCAATAACCAAATTCAAAGTTCTAAAATATCCAATTTAAACAATATGTTTCGCCATATCTAAGGTACAAAATACAAAACAATGCTAACATCAAACGAATGCAAGGAATATCTTAAACAATGTTTGGTCAATTCGTTTGTTTAACATAATACATTGAACTTTTTTTCCGATTATGATTCAATAATATTCAAATTCAACACCTTTTTTTTCTTGTATATAGCACTACATTCGTGCTTTAATAAACACATAATGCCCAAAAGCCATAACTTTCTCCTAGAACGTCAAACACGTAAGCTGCAAGCTAAAAAAAGTCAAACAACAATGTGCAATGCGACACGTTGCACTCAAGTTTGCCAAATACCCGAGCACTATACTATACACTGTGCTATCGTGTGATATATAATCGTATGTATATTTTGTGCTGTCGAGGGACCGCCAATATTGAGTAGCCTGCCATTATGCATAGCCATTTATTGCGGCTTTCAATTGCATTACCATTACCCCAGAAGAACACTTGATGTAGCTGCAGATATAGATGTCGATGCTGATGTAGATGTCGTTGTAGTTGTGTAGACCAGACACAAACAAAACAAATAAACACAAACATGGGAGTCCTCGCAGCCTGGGAGACAAAATACAGACAGAGCCACAGAAACTTGATGGGCGGTGGGAGGTGAACAGTGACAAGGGAAAGCGGAAAATGGGTCGAATATTTGGCGAAAAAATTAAATATCTATATTATTCTATAAGTTTTATTAAAATAATATTTACTAAATAGATTATTATTATTTCAGGAAATGCCTTTAAGCATAAAATTAGTTTTGTTGATATGAATTTATTTAAAAAATAACAAAAAAATTTTACATTCATTGGTGTAAAAAACTTGCAAGAGAAAAAATGGTTTATTAACTAAATAATGAGTTGGAAATTTTATAGAAAGAGATTCTTAAAATAAAATATTTAAAACAAGTATCTATAAGAATCATATTAAAAAAAGATCCTTAAGCCAATATATTGCATCATCTTGAAGATCGGAATCTTAAAATGAAATGAGATGTTCACACTCTGAACACAGTTCTATGGGCTAAGGGAACTGGACTCGTAGCTTCGGGTAATGTACGTGTAATGCAATCGGCGTCAGCAGTCCGTACTTTTGGTGTTTTACCGTGGAACACACAATACCCAAGCATATATTTGTGAATATTTTCGCCAGGACTTCGTTTGTTGGTCGTGGCAAGCGACGAGCGACATGTCCTTGGCCTTGGTCAATGAGCGCGTGCAGAGTTGGGTTCAACAGCAGCAACAACAACAATAACAACACAAACAACAACAACTATGACTACTACAATTTCCTCTTTCGCTTTTGTTGTCGGTTGTCGGTTGTACTTTGGTCAAAATTTGCATTGCAAACTCCATTAGGGGTGTCTCGAAAGTGGCGTGGAGAATGGTAAAAGCAACTGCCTTTTGTTTTTGGCCACTCCACCAGCTCTTTCTCCCTTTGTCTTGGCCATTAATGAGATTCGATTTGGGTCTGGCCAACATCTCCGGCAGACAGGCAGAACCCCAGTGTGCCTGTCACGGGTCTATAGCCCCCCTCTAATTGGCCCGATCAGGTGCGGCCTTCGCCAAGGTTGCAGCCCACGTGCTGAAAGGTGCCGAAACGCCCACTACGTAAAATGTACTTTTGATTCATAAAACTGCACGAATGGCGTACCTCAATCGGCAGGGAAAACAAGGCGCTCCTCGAATGTTACTTGCACTTAGGAAAATTACCATAAAACGTTACTACGACAACGGCGAGAGGAGGAGGGGAGAGGCGGGGGGAGTGTTGCGGCCACCTATATAGTGCCAAAGCCAATTCATATTTTAAAGGCATTTTCGTAATAATAACATAAATTACGAGTACGGGTGCGGCGGAGCAAGAGTGAAAGAGTTATGGGGCCATACACCTGACTGCAAAGTTTTTGCTTCCCAGTTTTTCCCTTTCAAAAGGTAGAGAAGATTAAATGAATGGGTCGATCAATTTATTGGAGTGAATTAAATATTAAGAGGCTTAAATATTTATAGGCTTAAATATCAAGAGGCTGGTTATTATAATAGAAGCCACTGAGTCTTAAAAAATATATTTTAACGATTAAAATTATAAGCTTTTATTTGTAAAGTCTTACATACATTTATCGTGTTTTTTTGCAGCTCTAGCATGTAATTTATATTTTTAAATTTCATGCGGAAGATTTAAGTATAATGTAATCAACAAGCATGTGTGCTTAATGCAAATTAATATTACGAATATGTAAGTTCATATTTTTTGCAGCTCGGCAAGAGTGTATATTGTTTCGATTCCCGAATCTATAACGTTTTTTTCGAGTTTTTCCTTTCGCGATTTTTGCTGCTCCTTGCTTTTGTATGTCAGCGGAAATTACCAAATTGACCGTGGCTTCAATTTTGTTGCTGTTGGCTGTGGGGCCGACTCCCTGGCTGCATACAATAAAATACAAATTACCGACAATTGATTTTCCATATGATTGCCGCGGAGTGGAGCCCCCGAAAGTAGGCAAAGGTTAATTGCAGCCTTCTGGCGGACAGAACACACAGCGCCAAATTCTGAATGTCAAAATGGAAATGGGAGCCTTTTTTAGAGGAGCCATACAAATTTAATCATTGCACTCGGGACACTTTAATAGGAAATGCATACATTAAATGTAAATTCAAATAGCACAGTCAAAAACCGAATGAAAAAAAGTGCAGGGGAATTACATTTGAAAAATGGCAACCGCAACTAATGAAGGCCCCCGAGGGTGAATCGAAGAATTCGAATGGTGAAAAAACACATCAAAGTGGTTTCATCCGCTGGGGTTTGGGTAAAATAAAATGTCAAATTATTTATGTGCAGAATCCTTTAATGACAGTTAAGTCAGTAGTGTCACGGGCTGCTGACAAAAAAAATAAATACACTCCGCTGACCATAAAATATTGATGGCAAATATTTATAAAAATAAAAGCGAATCGGTTTGGCTGTCTGAGTTTCCGAGTTGACCTGTATTTTTTTTTTTTGCACCCGCCACAGAAAAGAGCGGAAAAGTAAACGTTCCGCGAAATGCATTTCACCAATTCGCGAGGACAGGTGGTGCACCCAAAATAGATATGTGTATGGACTCATATGCGCTGAGCTCTCCGCATTTCAGCCTTAAATATTTAAGCCCCATTTTTCATATTTGCTCAAAATATTTACCCGGCTTTGGCGCATTTCATCGAGTGCACTTTGCATAAATTTCAATAAACTTTATAGTCCGCTCGGCCGTCCTGCACTCTAATGCAATAGTCAAACATAAATTTACATAAATATTGCAGACCGATGCGCGCTTTAATCGCGGCAATTAAAACATTTGCACAACGCATCGCTGCCCAGGCACAAATACAAACGAAATTGCGAAAATAGCGAAAATTCCCGCAATCGCTGGGAAAATGGATGGCGGGGAGGGGGTGCAACCGCCACCCAGAACCGAAAATATTTTTGTGCATTGTTGATGACGTGGGCTGGTCGAAACAATAAATGCGGCACAGAGTCGGCGGAAAATGCCATCCCTCCTCTCCCCTCCCCTGCAATCCCCTCTCCATCCCTCTCTCACTCTGTTGCCACCTTCGCGATTTCAGGACTCACCTGCACCGAATGATCCAAATTATTGATGATGCGTATCACACGGCCGGCGCTGCGCTTTATCGAGCCTGATGTGGTCGATAATGTGCCCAAATCCGCTTCCATTATTGAGGGCTTCCGACTGGCGGGCTTGGAGCCCCATCCCTGATTTCCAGGCGATGCATACCACATCCCGTTCTTCTTGCCGTAGCTGGCAGGCTGTCCGGAAAATATAAGTCAGAGCGGGAAAGTGAAGTGAGAAACAAATAAATAGTAAAAGTACGTGCGAATGACTGAATTTTTGGCATCGACCAGTAGCCCATCATCGGGGATGGTGAGGTAACTGGTCGATGAAATAGGTACGATAGGGAAAAATTCCTAGTTATGGGGAATAATAATATGATATCTGGTGATAGGACAAGTTTAACAAGTTTTGAAATAAGAAATTTTTGTTGACCAGCAGAGCATACTAATAAATTATGTTGATATTACATATCATAGCTTTTAGTCCAAAGGTAAAACTACGATGCTGTTTTCCCATCACTACCCATCACATCCCTTTTCTCCCCTTCAACATAATGTGCGTATATATATGCCATTTACAGATTTCAGCCATCACGGCTTTCGTGAAAAATTCCGCGCAAATCTGGAATTAATTAAATTGTTTTGCAGCACGCACCGACCTGGCTTGACCATGGAAATGGATGTGGATGTGGATTTGGATGTGGATGTGGTTGGGGACTTGGACACGGACACGCACCCACACACACGTCACACTCGACTGCCCAAATCAAGCAAATCTCAATCCACCCACTCGAATACACGCATGGCCAGAATATCGTTTCCGAAACTTGTCTGTGCGGTGGGAACTTGGTTTTCTTTTTCTGTTGGTGAACTAATCCCCAGTGTTCTCTTGCTTAGAGGCACCCAAAACACTTGACTTTTGGATGGGAGCGTGAGGAATTTTAAGAAAGATATTTCATCATATGATGAATGGGATAAGCTGGGATAAGATGTGCAAGAAAGCTGACTAAAGTTCAGGGATTTGTTGAGCTATGGGTATTACAAACAAATTTTAACTACTTTACAACTTTCAAGCAATTGTTTTAAACTCTGTAGGGATTAGGCTTTTTAATAACGCTTATGCACAACGAAAACTGCAGCCTTTTAAGACTGGTTTTTCAGTATTAAAAATGAATGCTGGAGTTCAACATACGTGTTTTTAAATAAACTAAGAAATGTTCATTAAATTGGCTGATATCTAACCATCAAAAAGTAACAATATTTTTATTTTGTTCCCTCTTAGTTAAGGATTTTATTAGATTTGCTGTTCATATCTGTTCTTAAGTCTTTAACTTCATCTCCGGTTCTATCTCATCAGCTTAGATTCTATTCACGATTCCATCTCTGTTTCAGCTAAGCCGCACATTGGAAAGAAATCCGCCGCAGAACGCGTGTGTATTGGCATTTGCTTTTATCTCATTGAATGATTGGAGTCACTGACAGTGCGAGATTAGTTGGCCCACAGCCTGAATAAATTATCGGCCTAATCTCTTGCCCACACTCCAGCGGCATTCAGGGTTCAACGAGGTTAATGCTCGAGGTGGAGTTTGGGTATTTATAGTTTCCCTAAGCTCTCCATTTGCCTAATCATTAAGATTCGCCCGGGGTGAAAATGGCACTTTCATACAAATCAGACAGAACTCTGACAAATATTTGTGGCATTCTTGCACCAGGCAATGCGAAAGCCTTTAAATTGAGTTGCTCTCACTCGCAATCAATTTGACAAATGCATTTTTCCTATTTTCCGGTCTGTCGTATATTTCAGCTTCCTGCCACAAACAGAAGCCGGGGCCATAATTCAAAATAAATAAATTGTTTAATTTTAATTGTTTTTCGTCTTCCTGCATCGTCTCCATTCGTTTCATTTCGTTCCGTTTCGTTTCGTTTCGTTTGATCCGTAGGTGAAAATTCAATTTTAATTCCACATTCGGCTTCGATGGATTTTCAATTTAATTTTCCTTTTCTCCGCACAGCTCTTCTTTTGCTACCAATTCGATTGCTTTCTTTCCTTTGCTGCGCAAAGGTGGCTGGGATATATACAATTATTGTAGACCGAAAAACAGGGGCAAAAGGACGTAACAAAAACTGGAGTCTGAAATTAATGTAAATTCGTTTTTAACACAATTCCTCAGCCAGCAATTTCACATTTGCTTTGGAGGGACCCCCGACTGACCCCAATATTGTTTTTTGGGCACTTCACCCACCCAATTGTAACATTCACATAAAACTCGGTCCGGCCCAGCATGTGTAAAAGGTTACCATCAAAATCAAGGCTTTTAATTGAAATTCACAAAAATGCAAAAATTCAAATATGCCCCAGCAGCTCGGCATGTGTTGGTGCGTATCTACATATATGGGTGTGTGTGTCGGTGTGTGTGTTTGTGTGAGTGTGTTTGTTGAGATTTGGCTCTCGTGCAAATGGAAAGCCGGAAAACTCAGTGCACGTGTCAATGATTGTTGTTGCTGGCTGGGCGGACACTTCTCCCTAGGCCAAAATCAATTAAAATTCCGCCAAAACATAATAACAAATATAAAACGTTTTTGCCGCCTATTAAAATCGCGAATGAATACATTTTTATTGATTGCAAAGAGCCTTCTGTGGCGATTCAACTTAAATAAGAGTAAACAAATACAAGTGCTGTCTATCTAAACATTTATCCCCTTTATTCGATAATGGCTTCCTTTCTAATCCCATTTATTTAATCAAATTTTCTAATTATTCATGGTAATGCGATTATCGTTTCCAGAATTTGGCCACTAACTTTTAATTATTTAAAGCATTCCGCTTGGACTTGTTTTTGTTGGAAACTTTCAATGCAAAATTGTGTTTTTCGTTAAACGTAAGTGCAATCTATAAAAGCGAATGTAAAAAACTGTGCGTTTTGAATTTATTTTTAAATTACAACTAAAATAAAAAACTTTTTAAAGCTAATGCCATTTAATTTAGATTAAGCTATAAGCTTTAAAAACTAACCAGAGTTTGTTCTACTTAATGCTTTCAAAAATACAAAATCAAACGCCCAGTTGTCGAATTTCCAAAATTATATTTAAGTATTTTAAAAATATTTAGAGAGTAATACAGTTTCGACATATGGGAACAGAAACTCTTAGGCTTGATTTTAATTAAAAACGGTTTTTGCCCCGGCATAGATTGGTTCATTCAGCAATTTGTTAGCCTGGGTAGACACTAAAAAATTGATTTATATAAAAACCCGGATTGACCAAATAATGTTTTATTTATTTGAGCATGAGAGCTGTGCTTTACATTTTCGGCTGGCGCTTTAAAATTTCCATAGACCAAGGGGAAGAGGGAATTCCCTTCGGACCAGGAGGTCCTGCCACTTAGCAACTAATATCAGCAACAAAGTGCCGAGCGGGGCTGCTCGGCAAAAGCTTAAATTACGCGCTCAATTAAACTTTAAGCAAGTTGGAAGAGGCCACCAATTCAATACAAAGGGGCCAGCAAAATCTAAGCGCAACTTCAAAGCCCTTTCTACGTTTGACGTGCAGCCTCGCAGAAAATTCAGTGAAGCCAAAGCCAGGACCCAAAAAGGGCGGAGGATTTGGTGAGTTTTTCGGGAGGGGCGGCTTCTAAGTGGCAGCTTAAGATGCCGAATTTTACGCATATTTAAGCCGAATCCCGCTCTCCAATCTCCCCCATGGTAATCTTTATGATTATTATCGCTTTTCGGATATGGCGGCGCAGTGGGGTAAGATTGGTTTTTGTTTTGGCGTAAACAAATAAAATAGTTTCCTCAATAAACTGGTAAACATATAAATACTCGCCCATATTGACATTTATGCTTGGCTTGGAACCCTAGAGATTCACGCGCTCGGCTAATGCTAAATGGGGTTTAAAATTTACGGTCAATTTTATGTGTTGTGTCATATAATATTTACTGTTTCACACCTTGGTGGCTTTGTTTGGATTAGACTGGGATTTCGAAATAATGAAAAATTATTTGGTTTAATGGCAGTGAATATGATGAATGCGGCTTTAAAGGGATTCTTTGTGAATTTATGAAAAGGAAATAAATAAATCTACGCTGGCCTGAATGTTATGAAACTTAACCAAAACTGTGAGTTTACAAGTTGCCTTGTTTCGTTTCAAATTACAAATATGGGTTTTCCCCGCTCTCCGCTTTTCCATGATTTGTTTTGATTTCCATTTGTTTCTGTTTCGTTTGCCAATTTCGGGCTGAACTCTCTTGCACACACGCATTTCACTTAATCAGCAGTTTAGAGCAAGTTAGTGGCTAATGTAAATATCATATACTCAACGTTGTGTGAACTTTTTGGGCATAGCATAAATTTGCGCTGACATGGCACATGCCACATGTCGTACACATATTCGTACACGGAGAAAATTATATCTATTCAGAATCTAGTATTAAAAAAAGATAACGTTTTTCAAATCTTATACAAATGAAGATTTTTTGCTAATTTTTTTACAGAAAGATTTGATGATAAGAACATTTATTTTAGTTCATTGATTCAGTTAAAATGGCAAGTTGATAAACATGAATTGGAAAATTTAATTCTTGTATAATTTTTTTTTTTAACAAAATAATCCGGTTATATCAATCGACTTCCTCTTACTTACTTGTGAATTTCAATTATAACCTGATTAAATGAAAATTTAATTCCATCCTAAGTGCTTTAATGTGTACGAAAGTTAATTATAACTTAATTTGAGTTCACTCTGTGAGGTCAATTTGGTTCGCTAAATATTCCTGAACTCGTATCTCAGTGTCTGCAGTTGGCCAGCTTGTCGAAGCCGAAGGGAAATATTTAAAATTGAGCATACATCAACGGAGGGCAGCAGGACAGAATTCAGCGGCCAGCACACGTAGACCATTAAAAAACACTTAGAAAAACAACAAAAGTCATTTAAACTTTTTGCCAACTTTTTTCCGCCCGCACACTGTGCTGCTCCTCAATTTCTCTCGGAGGCAAAAAATGAAATGTGAAATTAAGAGATGTGTGTGCAAAGGGAATGGGGAAATGGGGAAATGGCAACTGGAAACAGCGAACTGAGAACTGGGAAGTGGAAAGTGGGAAATGGGAACTGGGAACTGGGAACCCGGAGATGTGTGATGTGATGTGCCGGACTCTGGACTTTGGACTCCGGACCTCGGACTCCGTGGATTCTGGAC